GGCACAGTTTTCCTTCATAAGCTCACTTTTCTTCACTTTTTGAGGATATAATGAGATGTCTTTTGAAAGTTTGATATTTTAATGTTGTCACCCTTGAAAAGTGGTGTCAACCTCAGTCATTTTCTGATTTTGAGCCACATAAACTCTACTTCACATGGCGAGAACATGGACTGGACCCTGGTCTCCCTGTGGGAAAAATACTCATGCTCACCTGGCGGACATGGTTCTGCTAAGTCCCGTGGAGGTACACACAGAGGACAGGGGTGAGTGGCCCTGAATCCAGAGTATTTTAAAACAAAGTCTCCCCACAGGGATTTATTGACTATTTTAAGGCATGTCTGTCATCACCAGAGAAGACGAATTCATGGCGCATCCGTTGGCCTCAGAGGCCGTATGTGCTGCCTGACATGCAGAACAGGGAACATGCAACCTCCCCCAAGAGGCAACCTCAGGGACGGTATGATTTCCAGGCGCACATGCTTCAAGGTCTACGAAGCAGAGGCACAGACAAAGAAATAGAGGTGAAGAGCTTGGTCTCGCACAAGCACAGGTCACGGATTAGGCCAGACGTTCACTCAACTGAAAACTGAACAATCCCACAGTGCTAGAGACTCAATGTGCGGGTCCCTCCCGAATTCACAGGTGACACCCTACCCTCATCGTGATGGGATTGAAAGGTGGGGCCTTTGGGAGGTAGTCAAGCCACGAGGGTGGAGCCCTCCTTAATGGGATTAATGACCCCTGGGGGTTCCCTTGCCCCTTCTGCCAGCTGAAGACAAAGTGAGAAGATGCCATCTATGAACAAGACCAAGGCCCTCTCGGACTTCCAACCCCAGCACTGCGAGGAGTGAGTGGCTGATGTGTTGAGCCTCCCAGGCTGTGGTGTTCTGTTAGAGCGGCCCAAAGGGGCTGAGACACCGAGGGAAAGTGTGGAAGAGATGGAAGGCCAGAAACGCCGTTTGCAGTCAAGTTGCAGAGTTCCTTGACTATCAGGGTCATGTGTACTAGAAAGGTTCGCCTACTGGCAAAACAATGGATATAGGACTATGGCAAATGCTTCAGGACCAGAGCGGGGTGAGCCTAGGGCAGGAATGGCACTGGGTCGGTGTACTGGTCAACCAGCACGCACTGGTCAGCCCGCCACAGAACGGGGTCTTCATCGGGGTGTTTTCTGTGAGCAGTAAAACGGGGGGTGGTCAAGGAAGGGATGTTGAAAAACCAAAAGCATAGGGTTCTAGGGCCATACGATTGGACCTCTGTGGACATTTAAGCAAGAAAAGGTGCAGAGTCAATAAAGACCAGAGATTAAAACAACAGCAATAGTGTGACAGCTCCTAAAATCAGTGGCCTTAATTCCAGGTAACTCAAGAGATTTCATTTTCTAATTGTGAGTCACATATCTTCTTATGCTTACGAGAAGTCTTAGTTTACCTCCAAGTCTACATGTTAAAATTTAATATACTGAAGGAGGCTCACATCTTTTATGTCTTTGTGTGTTTTTACTAAAATGATCCAAGATGATAACATAAATTGTGCATTAATTTTTCCTTTAAGGACTTTTTTTTTTTTTTAATTAGGGTAAGTAATATATTCTTCAGTGGAGATCAAGTTACAATGTAAACATCAACATTTCTAACCTCCAAATTCTACGTTTTGTTATTTAGGGATTAAATCTAAATCTTACGTATTTAGAAAAATATTTCTTATTGTGGTTAAACAAAAGAAATTGTGATAAAATGCTCAAATTTTTTTCAAAAAACAACAACTATTTATTTTGTGGTTGGTGCACCTTTTGCTGCTAAAAACACTTCAGAGCAGCAGTAAAACAACAAGAGACCGTGACGGTCTCAGTAATAACTTTTGGGACAGCCCCACGGACTAGCAGCACCTCCATCAGTCCTCTGCCAACAGTGCCCTTCGCTTGAATTCCAGCGTTTCCGTGAGTGTGGTGAGCTGGCCGTGTCTGAGAGACAAACAGTTGTTCCCAGACGGGCGAGGCTCAGTTGGTGGAGCACCATCCTGGGCACCGGAAGGTGGCTGATTCGATTCCCGTCAGCGCACGTGCCCAGGTTGTGGGTTCAGTCCCCGGCTGGGCTGCGTACTGGAGGCAACCGATCCATGTTTCTCTCTCACATCAAAGCCTCTCTTTCTCTCTGCCTTCTTCTCTCTCTCTAAAATCAACAAAACCTATTTCTAAAAAAGATATAATGGGAAACGAATTACATTAGTGTCTCCCGTTGATCAGAATTTACTATTTCTGAGTCTTTGCCCGTCAGCGGATGCTAGAGTGTTGCAACCTCCTGAGGTGCCCGTTCCAGCGACACTCGTATTCTTAGTTCACATCACTACTTATCCGGCTTTTTGTGAGTAAAGACCCACAGCCCTCAGCAGGCCCCAGGGCATCCGACTCTGAGATGCTCCGCAGGTTTGTTACGATCCTTAGGCTTCTGTGTCCAGAGCAGTTCCCACCCCACAGGGCGGCCGCTCAGAAAGGCGTCCTAAGTGTAGGGCCGGGGGAACGTTATATAGATTAATACGGAGACGAGAGCACCTTCCTTCCTTAAGGACAGGAAAGGGGCAGAAACAGGGCATCTTTGTTCTCTGGCCCCAAGGAAGAATTACCGGTACAGCCATTTAAATGGGCCCCAGCAGCCTCTTTCCTCCGCCTTTCTTGTTTCTGGAGTATAAACACCTAAGTGAGCACAAGGACCGTGACCCCACACATGTAACTCAGCGATATCTATAAAGCTCTGGGGACTCGGACGCCGATTCACAGCCTGTACCCCGGGACCCCCAATCACGTGCAATGAATCGACTGGTTCCGGCCTCAGTATTTCCAGTGCCCACCTTTCCATAACTCCAAGAACGGCAGGGGCGCTGTTTCCTAAACGTTACAGCTATTAACACAGGAAGCAACCATGGCATCGCCTCAGAATGTAACAGGGTACATTGTTTTTTGTTCTTTTTGTTTTTTTTAATATGTGTTTATTGATTTCAGAGAGAGGAAGGGAGAGGGAGAGAGAAACATCGATGATGAGAGTCATTGATCGGCCGCCTCCCGCACGCCCCCGACTGGGGATCGAGCCCACAACCCGGACATGTGCCCTGACCGGGAATCAAACCCTGATCGCCTGGATCCTAGGTCGACGCTCGACCGCTGAGCCACGCCCAGCCGGGCATAACAGGATATATTGTTTAAAAAGAGGTCGCCCATCAAATTAGTATTTACAACAAGTTTCCTTTGGAAGAGGAGGGACTGGCAGGAAAATGCTGACAAAGAGGAGTTTTTTAAGAGTATTTACTGGGCCCTTTTTTGAACCGGAAAGAGAGAGGGTGACTTCTAACGCGCAGTCACATGCCTTGAGATTTGTTTACTGACTTGAGAGAGAGGGAGGAAGGGAGAGAGAAAGAGACATAGGGAGGGGGGAGGGAGGGAGAAACCCTGCTCGGTCGCCCCGCTTATTTTTGCCCCGGTTGATTCTTGCATGTGCCTTGACCAGAGATCGAACCCACAACCTTTGCCTATGGGGATGATGCCAACCCACCGAGCGGCCGGGCCAGCACATGCCTTGATATCCGAATAAACTAGACTCTTTTTTGTCATAACCCTTTGCGGTTCCTATTACGATTATTTTCTTACTACAGTGTAGCCCTGTTCCCTAGTAGCATCTTTATTGGGGATAAAAGCAAATAAATGACTCGTGTTTAGAAGAGCAGCAAAGAGAAAGAGAACTGTCGCGTCCGATGGGCAAGGGCTGAAGAGATAGACGCTGCGTCCAGACCTCTGAAGGCAGGGCCCTGCCCGTCAGACCGGGGACCACGTTCACCTCAGTCACAGGGACACGGCCGGGGGCGTGGCTGAGAGAAGGGGAGGGCAATGGACGCGCTCCTGACCACAGCCACAGGCGTCGCAGGTGACCAGAGAGCACCGGACGGTGTTTGACATTGGCAAATGCAAATAAAGTACATCTGGAATATATTACTATAACATTTTAATATATTAAATATACTGTTAATATGTATGTGTATATTCACTACACATACAGACATAATTATATAGTTTGTAGTAAGAGATATTCCCGGTTTGCATAATCATGAATAAAATACATAAGACCCATGATTTGTGGGCATCACTGGGAACCTCAGCATCTACACCATTGTATTTATCTGAGCAGTACAATTTCTTCTGCCTACTCTCCCATTTCCTACATGGCTCTATATATTCAGAGACTTGATTTATAATTAATGCAAAATTTTAAAACCAGAGGGTAAAGCTTTATTTGCATAGATGTATATATTTAAATATATTCATCAAGTTAGCTAAGAAGTTCCAATTTTTTGAAAAGATATACATCTTTCCTTTGCAAAATTAAAAAACACACACAACAGAATAAGTTGCACGGTGCACTTTTTCTGTGTTGGTAAATGAAAAATGTGACTTAAAACCATCCAGAACACATTTTTCTTTCTTCATGGTAAAAATCCTAGATCACCAGAGAAAACTAATGGGAAGGCGCCATATTACGAATGTGTAAAACAAGCATCCTTCAGAGGGCAGTGTCCTTGCATGTTTCCCCCACTCCCTACGTGCTTTTTAAGAAATGTTTTCTCTGACGAGGGAACGGTTCCTTTTGTGTTTTTCTGAATTGTACTCTGAATAAGGGCTCACTTGCCCTCATTTATCTCTGTGCCCTTTCTCTCAAACCCAGTTGCTTAAAAACAATGGCGTAAATAACGTTACTTAAATCACCCTGACAACACTGTCTCACCAATCTGGGACCATTTGATGCTCATAAAGGAAGTCAACAATTGCTTTCCGTAAGAATTAGGTTTTTAAGTCCTGAAGAAACTGTGCACACACCCACTGTCTTTACCTTTTCTTTATAGTGGGTATAGAAATTTCTCTTTTCTTGGAATTCCATTCAAACATTAATTCCGATTAAGTTTCCGATCTCAGTCAAAGGCGGGACGTCGCGAACGGGGGAGGGCCAGCGCCTTACCTCACTTTCAGGTTGCCCTGCTGGAGCTGCCCGTCGTAGACGGACAGGATGTCGAAGTCCTCCTCCAGCGCGAAGCTCTGGAAGGACAGCTGGACCCGGTGGCGCTCGCCGCTCAGGATGACCCAGGTGCAGTTCGCGTAGTTGGGGTAACCGTGCGGGAAGCCTGGGCTCTCGATGGTGCCGTTGGGGCCCTGGACTAGGCCGCCGCAGCTCTGACCTGGGAAAAACACAAACATTTTCCTGGTTACTGTTAACCTGTGATTTTTTAAAAATTTCCCAACCATTTTGGCCAAATGTTATGACGACTTATTTTGTGATCCTTCGGGGTGGGGCTAAGTAGGTTTACAGTTATGAGTACGTGAAACTGTGTACTCTTGTTTTATCGTTTAGTAATTATTGTTTTATTTTCCATACGAACAGCTGTAAACCTACGTGGACCCTACCCCGTGGGAATGATAAATTGCCAGTGTCCTCCAGTCCTAAAAGACAAGTGGCCCAAGTGCAGGGAGGACAGACGGGGAACCTACACAGCATTTGGAAACTCATGTTAGAAGCTGGTGGCATCGACTGCGGAGATTCTCGGATTTGAGGAGCTGTCCAAGGAACGGGGCCTTCCGGGTAAACTGCAGCCCGAGGGCTCCCGCCAGGACCTTCTGTTGGGAGAACGCCTCGGGGGGTCGGTCGCAGCCTCACACCGGACCGCCCGCTGCACCCCAGCAGCGAGGCCGGCTCTCGCAGCCTTCCTCCCGACCCCAGGCCCCCTCCTCCTGCCTCACCCTTCACCCGGCTCTGCCGCGGCTCCCTGCTCACCCGTGCCCCCGCTTCCTCTGCCCAGGGTCGACGCCCCACTGTGTCGGAACTCGTTCTGATCCATCGATCTCTCGCGATGCGCCTGCCACGGCCACGCCTGGGCGGGCCAGCCGGACGGACGGCAGGCCGTGGGGACCAAACCCAGACAGGCAGGCGATCGGCCTCCCTGACGACCACGCGCGGATCGTGCCGACCGTAAAAATCGCCCTCACGGAGGGGACAAAGCTACTCCTCTCAGACCCTTCCAACGTTTAATTAGTCTGAGGTCAGCTATGAAGTGGCCCCCAAATACTGTCTGCAGTGTTTCGTTTCTTCTTTATCCGGCCACTTCCCACCAGTAGGTTTAAGTGAATTAAAAGGTGGGATTTTTTAATATAAAAAGTGTTATTGAATTTATTGGGATGATATTAATAATCTTATATAGGTTCCAGGTTGCATTTCTATACACATCCACCCCAAGTCCAGTCT